TTTTTTACCTCCATCCATATTCAAACCACTTATCTAGAGGAGTCTATCCCTGCCAACTTGGGGCGAAAGACAGGGTACACCTTGGATTAGTCACCAGACAATCGCAGGGCTACACAGAGACAAACAACCATTCACAGACCTACAGTCCCCAATCAACCTGATCCCAAGAATATGTCTCTGAACTGTGGGAGGAAGCCGGATAACCCAGAGAAAACCCACACAGAATATATCCAACTATAGTGTTGCAAACTCTATCCAAATTCTGTGCCGCAGCCTTCAGAAACCTTTGACTCAGTCTATGGTCCAGTGGCACCTTGATAATAACAGGAAATAACACGCTGCTTTTAGTACCCTAATATGAAATAAAATCAAGCTTTTTTCAAAATCCATGACTTGACCTTTACCTAACCTTGCCCGTGTGCATGTATATATACATGATTTTACTTTCACTAACGTTTCAGGATGATGAGAATAAAACGTAATAAACATTTGCTGTTGCTTTTGAATTCTAAAAAAATCTAGGTTATAAATGTAATGAGATATGAAAATAACCTAAACAAGGTGAGAGGATGACTGTGCTGTGGTATGTCCAATGCACAGAAGCATGTGATGGTGACGGTGTAATAGCCGGGGTTGTGTTGATTTATGCTGCAGCAGCAGAGCTCATTGTGATATTCACAGTGTGATAAATAAGAAGTTGTCATATTCTATTTCTCTCTGGGGTTCGCTCTCTGTTTCAGTTGCAGTCTCACAAAGCTCGTTTTAGCCTCACTTGTCACCCCCCCTCATGTAGGTGTGTGTGTGCTTGTGCGTCGGGGTGCTTGCGCAAAATGCTTGTTTGCATGCGTTTCTATTTCTAAAGTTGCAGTACAACATCCCCACCAACTGGATGAAAAATGCAACTTGCCTCATATAAAGTCTCCTATTCCATGGCTGGATTGGACAAAAAAGGACTTGAACTGGAATAACTGGATTTTTGGATAGCTCCATCACTGGAACCAGAAGTACTGTCCGGTCTGCCACCACACCTTCATCCATCCACCACCAAGAGAACCCTCACATCGGACGTCACAGTGCGCCTGGAGTCCCTTCGACTTGACTTTGGTTGTGCACAGAAGGGTGGTAGGACACTTTTTTATGGACGATACTTCTTCTTTTATACGTTTTTTCCCGATCGAACTTATTCCTGAGATCTCAGAGGTTTTCTTTATTTTTTTATATGACCTGCTTGGACATTCTTTTGATGTGTGGAATCGTGCATTTTCTGCAGAAATGATTGTCTAATTGTGTTATAAATAAATCTGTTGTGTTAAGCGTAATTTGGGGTGGACATTTCCTGTTACCAATTGAATACTCACCAGTCTCCTCATCGAACCTGGATTGAATTGAATATCCCCCTATATTCTGTATATTCTGTCTCTAAGCGACAGTTGCAGAGGGGTTACAAGGGGTTAAAAGAAAACCGCGTGTTTATGGAATCCAACCCCCCTTTCACTAAACTACATAGTTCTGATGCGACGGGAGACGCATTTTAGTGAGGTCAGTCTGCAGCGGCAAAATCACAATTTCTTCAAAGATGGACTACAAAGAAGCGTCTTCGATGCCTTCGTCCACGTGTTGTTAAACTGCTGAGTCATGCAGACAGACTTAACGGTTCCTCACATGATCTCTGTTTCTCGTTTCCTCGGCCAAATGATACGTCACTGTCAGGAATTGTGGGACAAATTCATCTCCTTTTGTAAAGGATGATCCAGTGATTCCTATGCTAAAGGAGCCAAAATAAGGAAGGATTGTAGCTCCTTTCCTTAGCAGAATTAAACCAGCTCTCATCATGGCGGCCACTTCCGGGTCCTTTCGAACCTTTCTCCCCCCCCTCAGCCAATCACACCTCCTCTCATCAGACTCCTGCCGCACTTCTTTTTTACTCCTCCTGTTCTCTGAAAAAAGCTCATTCCCCTTTCTTTAATTTGTTTTTTTTCCCAATGTATTGGGTCATCTTCTTCATTCTTACCTCGGCATCCTCTCCTCATCTTAGACGTGGTAGTCTTTCACCCTTCTTTGCTTTATGCTAATTCTCCCGCCCGCCTCCTTGCTGTTTATCTCCGTCTATAAACTGACGTGTCAGCTGAAATAATTAGCTGACAACTCCTCTGTGTGTTAGTGGTTTCTGGCGTGAGCCGCCTGGTGTTGTTTGGGGTTTCGTGTGGCCCCTTTATGCTCGACAGAGTCGACGCGATGTGTTCTCTCTTCTTCAAGCAGTAAACAACCTCTTATTGGTCGACCCGCTCACCTTGCTCGACAGCTTAACAGTTGTCGGTTCCTGTGGTACAACCTGCATCCGTGCTCGTCTCAATTACTGTTCCCGTTGGCTTCTGGGAAAGGAAGGTGGCGTTGCCAGTGTGGGTCCCAGGATGTACAGTGAATGTCCGGCTGCCGCAGATGTGTTGCTTCACACGCAAGCTGTGCAGAGAACCACCAATCACAAGGCTGGCCAGCGTGATACCCTCGATAAACAGATCACCCTCTCCTGTCTAAAAGGATCAACACAGACTGGAGGGTCTCTGAAGGAGATGGATAGGATCCATAGTGACCAGTGCTGTAATTTGGGTAAAAGGAGCAGCTTAAAAACACGTCTGGCTTCCTATAAATTCTTCACATGAATAATATTTGCTAACATTTCATTTGGAATTCTTCACAATAAGAGACTCTGGTTATTTTGGTATTTAAAAGCTTTCCGCAAAAGAGCGCTGGCCTTGAAGTGAGAGGTGCTTTAAGTTGAGCGGACAGAGCCGAGGGCAACTAGATGGAGCTGCTTTGCATTTTACTCACGTTGAGCTGACCTGACTGATCCAATTGAATCTGTTCCCAGAGCAGTGCGGTTTGTTAGACGACGGGCATCACATTATATCTAAATCCCGCTGTGAAATGATAATGTATAATTAATATAGTAAAGAATAATGAAAGGGATAGACACTCAGCGTGGTCACATGGCGAATAACTGGCTTAGTCGGACTGAAATCGAATTATCCGTTTCATGTAAACACCTTTGTCCGACTATGTGCGGTCCGACTACGATCCGACTAACACCCCTGGATAACTCGATCCGATCCAGTTGATAGTTCGAATATTGCTGCATGTAACGGTGAATCGGATGAGGAACTGGACTTTGCGTCTTTGCGCATGCTTGAGATCCCGACGACGTCTTCTCTCCGTTATCAAATCAGCCAATAGCGCCATTCGCATTCGCTGCGCTCCTATTAACATCATGCACAGATAGTAGAGGGATGTAGCTTCACCTTGATAAAGAAGGTAGTTATTACCAAATCTCAGAAAGTTTGAAGTAGTGCCTCTGACAAAACACACTGGATTAAATCAAATCGAATGTAAAGTAAAAGTATTGAATTTTTGGGGGGCAAAACATTCCTGCTGCTTAAATCTAGTTTGGTTAAGTTTTATGGAAGACGGTTATTGGATGTTTTGACAACCAATGACTCTGATCTACCCCACCACGGAAATATGGGTAGTAACTCAACCCCTGGCAAGTAGGAAAGTTAACACTATATTTATTTTTGTTGAGTTGCCTCAGTGACATTACAATTTATATTTATTTTATTGTGAAAGGTAAGAACGGGAGGAGTGAAGCTGAGCTGCCGTTGACAAAGCTGGAGCAATAACCAGCGTGCTGTTTTGGTTCAGACTATGAAGCCTCCGAGTTATATTTCATTAGCTTCATAACTCGTAACTTGGCTGTAAAACTAATGTATGCAAATATGATTTCTCCCGGCAGACAGATTTTCAACGGTAATCACTGTTATTAAACAACACAGTCTTTATACTTTGTAGGGAGTTTTGATGAGTGGTGTTTGTGTGACCTCGCAGAGATCCCCCTCCCGGAAGCCTTGCGTTCACCTTGAGCCTGACTCAACTGGAAATATTCATTTGAGGACTCCTGATTGCCCGTGGGTCCTCCCATCCCATCATCTGCACACTCCTCAATCACCCATTGATCATTTCCACTGAAATCTCATTGCATTACATCTCTGCGCACAACTTCCTGTTCTGTATTCAGCTCTGCAAGTTAAAGTTAAGGCGCAGTTTGAATATTTCAGCCTTGTAAATAAAAGAGCGTGCCTCTTTTCCTCCGCTGTTATTCGCAATTGACTTTCCTCCACTCACTCAGCGTTGAATTCAAGGGACCTTTTTAGAAAGCGTGCACATGTTGGAGTGTGCACACATGCATGCATGCGTGTGTGTGTGTGTGTGTTGCCGTGCATTCCTTTTGCATTTGTGTTTACGTTTTTCTCACTGTGTGAATGTCTTTGGGGCTCCGCTGAGCCCAGCACACAAACTCAATGGAGAGAAATCAATGTAAATGTAAATGTATGGCTTTGTTGCCTTTGCTGGGGAAGTTAAGTCGCATTTTCATGCACATAAACATCTATGAAATAGATGAAGTGAGGCAGGTAATCGTGCAGAGGATTAGTTGGGTTCTTTACGGTTATTGTTAATGTTGTAATCATGAGTGCAGCGAGCATAATTGATCATGTAAGCGGCCTATTGTTTATTTTCCCTTTCCAAGCACATCTTATTCTGCAGGATTCAAAAACAACAACTGCTTCAACAACAAACTCTTTAACTTCTGCCTCCCATCCTTCATCCAGTGGTCCTTTCCTTCATCCCCCTTTGATTATTATAATGATCTTTACCTGGAAACTCGGGGTCTGAAAAGTCCTGGAAAGCATTGAAAGAAAGCCTTTCTAAATTGTTATAAGCTGCAAGACAAAGTTGATGAAAAAGAAAAGAAAATGTCTAGATAGCCGCAGTAAATTCACATATTCATCTCACACACGTTATCTCACATACCGTGTGGATTTATCTTCACATGTTTTGATTAGTGTTAAATCATTGTCTGTTTTGAAAAGTAATTCCTGGGAGGTGAAAACTCAGTTTAAGAGCTGCATGAACTGACCTCTGCTGTCACTTCTCTTCCTGTGTCGCAGCAGGAGAGCAGACATGGACGACGTCTCCTTGCTGGTCCGCCCGCTCCTCCTGCTCTTCCTCCTCCTCTTCGTCCTGTCCTCCCTCCCCTCCGGCTCTGCCATGCTGTGTCCCAAGAGGTGCACCTGCCAGAACCTGCTGCCGTCCTACACCGTGCTGTGTGCCAAGACGGGCCTCCTCTTCGTCCCGCCCAACATTGACCGGCAGACTGCCGAGCTCAGGCTGATGGACAACTTCATCACAACGCTGAGGCACCGCGACTTCGCCAACATGTCCAGCCTGGTCAGAGCTCCCCTCTCATAAAGGCCTTTGCAATTGACTTTGATTTGCATGCCTAGTTTCTGCCAGACAGGTTGACACGGACGTTATCAAACTGCGCTCTGCTACAACCTACTGTTGTCAACCAGTACAAAAATAAATATTCTGGCTTTAAGTGACGTACTTTTATATAAAAGCTAAATGATGGGACTGAAGTTCTTTACTGTGATTGTGGCTCTTGAATGAGCTGCTTACAGAACGTATATGACTCACAGTCATGTACGCTGAACCAGTGATAAAAAGTCAGTCGGTCACTAATGGTTAAATCAGAACAAACCAAAGCTTCAGAGAGATATTGGGGGAAGAAAACCTCTTGACCATGCGGGGAAAGGACCTCTTTCATTTCTCTTTATCTTCTCTGAGTGACGCGACATTAAGGGTCGCCAGGTTGCCGCTGGCAACCAATTAAAGAAACTGGCAACTTATTCTTGTTCATTGGTTGCCATCAATGAGAAATACGTCTAACGCCCCCGTGATGTGGTGTTGTAGACACATCTGTGAAAGTAAAAAGGATGGACGAGATGTTGTTGTAAAAACATAAAACCGAATTCTTCTGGATTCCTGTTTAGGTGAAGAACGTGACAACTACTGCAACTCTGGTGATTTCTATACTTGCAATCAAGGATGTTAACTGATAATAAACTAAATTTCAATTATATAAAGTATTAAAGTAGTAGTATAAAATACATACAACAAAGAGGTGACTTTGGTTACTATAATACGGTCTTGTACAGCACATCATATTCTTGAATATGTCAGATTAACTGGGAAACAATAATATCAACAACAACAGAACAGGCTGTGTCCACGCTTGATGCTTCAATGCACATTAATATTAATAGTAGCTGCTAACAGCCAGAGACATTTTGTGATAGACACATCTTATAATATATTCTTCGCAATAGAACCGCAGTTATTTTGTTATTTCAAAGCTTTCTGCAAAGGAGCGGTGGCATTGAAGTGACAGGTGCTCTATTTTGTTATATTTAGGCTTATTTTTTAGAGGAGGAAAACTAAGGAAGGTTGAGCAAAGAGTTAAAAATATCTAGAATGAACTGAACCCCACAGATAAAACATGATGGCATAATTTGATTTTCAAGGCATTCTCATTGAAAGAGAACATCTCTCATTGCAGTGAGGATCATGTAAAGTCACAGAAAACACTTTTCATGTTTATTCCACACTAAACGCAGAAAACATAAAGAACATCTGCTCCTTCCAACACAACATATTGACTGAGGTGAAATCCGTGATGTCTGATCTGTATTTCATCAATTAATCGCACTATAATCATGTTACGGAGGTGGAAGGGCTTCGCCGCGCGCAGCAGCACAAAAACAAAGTACCGACTTCGGCGATATTCAACCGCCAAATAGTGGCGCAGCGGGGTACTTCCTTCAGATGCAACAGGTTTCCTCTTCAGTAAGATCGCAGCACAGATGATGTTTACTCACACGTGGGAAATGAGGTTTTAATTACTCGTCGGTGAGCGAAACACGGTTGTTTAGAAATGCGTGTGTGTTTTTTGGGGGGTTAATAGAAAGTATTTCCGCATCTATGTATTCCATTAACGGTGGAAGTATTCAGCAGCCTGCAAACTACCGACATCAGCAATGTGTTTTCTAATCCAACTAGTATTTATTAATGAAACTTAGCCTTACTTTTAATCTACTGTAATTCCACATTTGAAACAACCTACTGTACCTTTTAGACTAATTATTAACATTGTTGATAACGAATGGTGACAGGATGTCTTGGTGTTTAAAGGCATCCAGGAACCTGACTGCTAGTTTAATCCCCACTAGCGTACATCCTGCCGAGCCGTTGTGAAGTGAAACATCCAACCTATAGCATCACCTGTATCACCTGCTAACCCTGACCTGTGACCTTCATGAGAGAGAAGTGGGAAACTTAAGTGGTAACTTCTTCACACTGAGAGATCCGCAATGACAAAGAGTATCCAGTAGTTTAGTTGACATGTGTCCCTTTATCTCCAGATCCACCTGACGCTGAGCAGAAACACCATCAGTCAGATCCGGCCGTATGCCTTCGCTGACCTCCAGGACCTCCACGCTCTCCACCTGGACGCCAACCGCCTCACCAGCCTGGACGACTCCCACTTCCAGGGCCTGGTGAACCTGCGGCACCTCATCCTGGCCAACAACCAGCTGCACAGCATATCAGAGGGAGCCTTCCAGGTAGAGAACACTCTCTACAATCGCTGTTTAGCTTTCTTAATGCAAATAACGACACTACAGAAGCTTCTGCTGAAGTTAGTGCAGATTTGTGCGTATCTGTCACGGCTAACGTCTGATATCGATGAACCAGGCTTTCAACTAAGTCCAATGTAAAACCCGCCTGCGTCAATACTGGCAGACCTCTGTTCCGGTTTTGTGTACCTCTGTTTCGGTGTTGTGTTCCTCTATTTTTGTCTCGTGTACGTCTTATCCTGGTTGTGTACGTCTTTTCACGCCCCTTGTGCCTCTGTTCACGTGGCATGTTCGCCCGTTCATGTCTCGCGCAAATCTAAAAATACGTGTGTGTCATTGCAATTCCTTACCCTCAGTAAACATCACCTTTAACTGGAAAGCGTTAGGAAATTGAACGGGTCATAATTCCTGTTCCAATATTAATTTCCTGTGAAAACTACTTCATTCGTGGAGATTTACCACCATAATGGCAGTCAAAGAGACCTGCTTTAGGGTCAGTGTGCTCTGTTATCAGCAGAGCTGCCTGCGTTCTATCCAAGCAGCATGCATGAATGTTATTAATTACAATTTATTTCTTATTAGGTCCACTGTCGTAGATTAAACTAACATCCTACACAGCTTATTTTGGACCTGCACATCACAAGTTCTATGTGTTCTTCACTCACACTTTCCCACCAGCAACATGTTGCCTGCACTGTCTGGCCGACCGTCTCATCGGCAGGTTCAGATTTCCCCGTCTTCTCACCGTTCATCAATAAAGTCAAGGAGCTCCAGAAGTTAATATTTCAATTGGCAGATTAAAAAACATTTACAAGCTATGACTCATATAACACTCCTTTTCAAAGGCACTAACAAACAAACAAGCTATTCAGTTGTTTGGACAGGAGGACGGTTGGTAGGAGGACTCGTGTCCTCGTGACAAAGCCAGAGGATTCGTTCCCCCACAAACTGAACATTAACCAGACTCACTTTTAATCATTTCCTTTTTGGGCCAATTAGGAGACATTTTCTGCTCACAGAGCTCTTTGTACTCCTGACAACTCTAATAAACGTTTTTTTGTCATTAAGAAAACAATAAGGCAGAGACTTTGTAATGAGAGCCGAGGCATTGTGACATTCAGACATTGTCCCGAATGTGTGAATTATGAGAGCAATTACAGCCACAACAACAACACTTTGGCTGATCAACAGGCTGTAATTCCTCTCTGTTTGCCCCTCTGTGTTTTTGTTCACTGTTATGTGCGCTCACTCGTGGTATTTCAACGATGCAATCATTGTGAGACTTGTGTGCAGGCAATTAGGTTTTGAGTGCACAACATTGATCAGGGTAATTGATCTCCATTTCTGTGTCTCTCTGATATTCCCTGTCCTCCCCTTCTTCTCCAGTATTTGTCTTTATTTCTTCCTCTCTTTAAGAGGAAGAGATAAAGACTACCTTTTATCTCCATCCACCCATCCAACCATCTCCTCTTGTATCCCTCTCTCTTAAGATTGCCGCCTCCTCTTTCTCTCTTGCTTTGCCCTGAAGTACTTTCCATCACTATCCATTTTCTCCCGTTTTAATTATGATATAAATAATGATATTAAAGACCAGACTGTCCTCAAAGGTGGCCATGATTCTGAAGCTATTGAGGATGTTGCAAAAGGACTTCTACACTTTCTCTCCCAACGTAGGACTTCCTGGAGACTCTGGAAGACTTGGATCTGAGCTACAATAACATGGTGGACATCCCCTGGGACACCATCTCCCTGCTGGTCAGCGTCAACACCCTCAGCCTCGACCATAACCTCATAGAGAGCGTCCCAGAGGGAATCTTCTCCAACCTGCACAAACTGGCCAGGTCAGGACCTTGTGACGACACTTTGCTGCACCAGCAGACATTCTGTGTTCAACAGAAAGCGTTCAACAGGTCCAAAGAGAGCCGTTTGTATTTAGGGTCTTTTTTAAGCCTTCAAATTAAGATGTTATTGCAGGTCATGACATGATCGAAAAAAAACAATCTACGGCTTCTGTGGATATGGACCTGAATTGTGTGTTTTTGACGCTGAGAAAGTCAAAAATGGCGGTTGAAAGTTACTAAGGAGGCTTATACATGATCTACATACTGAATGCATCCACATGACTGGGAAACACTCTGTGAAGTTTTTAATATCTAAAAACACCACTGTTTTGGGTAGTAGGGGAGGTTGATGAGTCCAACAACAGCACGAGGTGGTTTTATGGTTGTGGTTATTTTGCCTACTACAACTTTTTTTGAAGGTTTTCCTAAACCGAATTACGTTGTTAATTCCTATCGCTGCCCACCAACCCAACAGAGTGCCCAAAGATTTATATCTGCTATATATCTTACTGCGTTGTGTTGCACAGACAGAGACCATGTCACCCGGTGGGTGCAGTAAACATCCAGTACTGCTCCGAGGTGCAATAGAACATACAGCTAGAGAAGAAACGGATAGCTCGATGGGTGTTTATGGCCAGCTTTAACTCAGAGTCCTACATCACGCGTAATGTGAGATGCAGCCTCAGCCACTTTCAGCAAAACCCTGTGCACACTCGCTTCTCAGAGAGGAGCCGAGACACAGCAGAACATTTAGCAGCTAAAGAGACAGGTGTTTTCTCTCTCATTCCTCAGAATATAGGAATCTGTTCTCTGATTAACACAGTTGTTGATAAGCTGTTGTTTTTTTGAATTGTTTACCCGAGGTGGTTAGTCATTGCATGTTTAAATTAAGGTTAACGGGATACATTGTATGTCTCTGAACTGGGGTTGTATGAGAGACTTTTCCATAGTCAGTGTATAATGTTCTTATATCCATCTATTCCCATCTCAAGGTCACTAGACAAAAAAACTCACATGTTGTGTTTCTCCAATCTGGTAATAAGCTCCCTAAGGATAAGTACCTCGTGCAAGCACACCTAGAAACAACCATCCCTTTAAAGTTGGAAAATCCCCTAAATCTGAGTATGGGATTTCCTTCTGACAACATGAACCTCATTTAATTATAACAGTGTGCACATTAAGGAGTGTTTAATTTTCAGAAGATTCCCTTATATAGTTTTATTACAACTATCGGTTATTTAAAATGATATTATGAGGTGGTGTAAACTAGCAAAATGATCTTGAGAAATACTCTAAAACCCCAGGAGTTTTGGAAGATGAATGAATGAAGAAAGAAGGAGTAATTTGCATAATAAATGTAATAATTTTTACTGGAAGAATATTCAGAGGACTACAATCGATTCTGCACATGAACTCTAAATGTTCCAGGGACAAAAATAGTCGAATGCATCCAGAATAAAAGACTCATCAAAGGGCTTCAGTGCTTCTGTCTTCTGGGAGTACAGCTCCTTTAAAGGGAATTCTTTGTTTTGACTGAAACACAAGAATCATCAAATTATAATTTGTTCAAATATATTTGTTCCAATGATGAGCAGCTTTTTCATTTCACTGATTCTCAAAGCAATTAGACGACAGACTCAGACCTTTAGGCAGGAAACAACTGAGCCAAAAATCACAGAGAAATTCCCTCCATGGCCGGAGCGGCTCACAGCAGCTCTCTGCGCTCTCAGCCAGGTGGGAGAGACCCAGTAAGGCCGCTGCTGCACTGCTGCTGCACTGCTGCTCTACTGGAGCAGCTGGAGGGCCGGCAGCTTGCCTGAGGGCACATCCAAAGTAGATGATGGTAAATACCGTAGCCTTTGCTGACCGAATGGGGATTTTTGATCTTAGATTGCAACTCAAAGAAGCACATCTTTTGTTTTTAAAAGTGGTTTCACAAATTCATAATCAAAAGAAAAATTGTAAGCTTAACTAAATTAAAAGAACAATCTTTTATCAGGGTATGGCATTAATTAAATCACACTTCTCTGATATTGATCTGGTGAGTAGCAGAGGTGGTTGTTAATTATTTAAGTAGTTTCAGCTGCATTGGTGTTGATGGAACACCATAACAGAGAGGAGATTCCAGGAGACACGCCATTGATCTAGGAGAGCTGGACAGGAGCTCAACCCATCAGCAGGACTGATATCTGCTGCTTTGTGCAAGGAGGAACAGGTTGAGCACTGCTCGAGCCCCAGAGAATGACGCCCAGCAGGCCACTGGCGTGAATGTCTCTGCCCGAACAATCAGAAACAGACTTCATGAGGATCGCCGTCCTGCCGTCCTGCAGTGTGACCTGTGCTCGTAGCCCAGCACTGTGGAGCTCAATTGCCATTTGCTATAGAACACCAGAGTTTGGCAGGACCGCCACTGGCACCCTGAGCACCTGTGATAGACGTGAAAGGGCCTGGAGAAGCCAAGGAGAACGCTACATCGTTCAACATGACCGGTTTGGTGGTTTGACAGTGATGGTCAGGGGAGGCACATCCATGGAGGGACCACAGACCTCTACAGGCCAGAGCAGGGGTCCCCAACCACCGGTAACCGGCCGCAGAGAAAGATGAAAAAGAGAACTGTTATTTGTTTTTCTGAAAAACATTTTATTTTGAAAATTGATGGGATTCTCTTCAAATTACACGGCAATTGTTCCTCTTGACACATTTCCCAAGTGTTACCCAAGCGTTTTTTTGCCATGCGCAGCAAATGTCAGTAAAAGACATCCTGAATACCAACTCTATTTCTGCCGTTTCCTCCAAAATGGCAGCTCACAAGCGCTTCATTCATCCGTCTCTCAGCATCGCAACTCATCTGACTAGCTGCAAGATTCTGCATGTAACAATTTCTATTGGACGACGAATCTTTGTGAAAAATGGGGACTTTTGTCTTATCCACTGCGGTCTGTTACTGCTTTGATTTCCTCTCTGGGTTGTATTTGAATGATTCTTATAAAAAAGATAAACAATACAGGTAGCCAGAATTTATCAGAGAAATAAAAAAAGGACGATGTCGTTGTTGATTTGCCATCGAGGTGGTTTCCACGGTGCGGCGACCTCAACAAATACATTTGACGTAAACATCCTTGAAACTGATACATTTTTGATCCCTTTTTTTGAGGAAAAAAACTGTTGTTGAGCTAATGTAGGTCCAATGTTTAAATGTTTCCAAATCATTCAGCCACATCTCTTCACCCTCACCGGTTGTTCAGGGAAATCCAAAGTACAACCTAAACTGGACCCCCATGTTCCCATGTTCAATTCATTTTGGATTTGTATAGCCAAAAATCATGAATTACAAATTCTCCTCAGTGGGCTTTACAGTCTGTACACATAAGACGTCCTATGACCCGAAAACACTCGTCAAAATACACGTCGGCACAGGAAAAAACTCAACGCAAAAATGAAGAAACAAAACTTTGACATCGACAGAAAGATTGAAAAAGAGGCTGCTTTTTTACAAAGAAGATACAGTCGACACCAACTTCTTACGGTCTGCTGGTGCAAATTCAAGAAAGGTTATGCGCTACGAGCATCACAAACCAGGAGGTGGTCAAAGGTCAGCGACCACGAGTCAGTGGGTGGCCACGGGTCGACCGGTGATACCGCCCTGAATAAAAGAGAGGTGACAGCCACATTGAATATTTTTTCCCTTTTTTTTACTGTTTCTGTGGAGCTCTTCTAGTTAGGCATTTTGTGTTTCTACAAGTAAAGCCTGTTGTTATTACACATGGGTGCACGTGTGCGCAAAATGATTTGGCCCTTCTGGCAGAAAACGACATTTGAACCCAATTAGCAGAAATCCATTTCAATTTGCGTCCTGACTACAAGGCTGGGATATGAACAGAGCGAAAGCAGCCAGGTTCTTGATTAATAGTCATGCATTTATTCAAATTGCTCTAATGGGTTATTTCTGCCCTAGAGAAACAAAACCCCATGGCCAAGCTGGTGTTACTCAGCATTTGTCTTCGTGCACAGGTCAGCTTTTCAATCACACACTCTCTCTCACACACACACACAGTTGAAACCTGAATACACACCAAAGGCTGCTGCGTGTGAAATAACATACATGAAAATGTAAAAATACAGCATACTGCTGTCAACAGCTATTAACTTTACATAAAGTCATAGCCATCGTTGAATATTTCTGCAGGGACTAAGGCGGTTTGTTGCTGACGACGGTGAATGTTTGATCGGCCACGTTATGACCAGTCATCAGTTTAAATGTTTTGGACGGCAAAATTACTGTTCAATTCCCAGAGATGGTGCAGGGGCAGAATGACAAAGATGCAATCGCGCTGCCTATATTGCATGCTGAGCATGAGAAGGACTGTTTGTTGTAATTACTTGATGTCCATGGAATTGCATTCTGGTATATTTTAATACACAGATCTGTGCCTCTTCCACAGCTAAGTTTTCCTTCTAATATGAGGAGTGCCCTGATCTTTATTTTGACATTGAGCTTGAATGATATTTCAAGTGCTATTAATTGGTCATGTGGGGGCAAATGACAATGTTGAGTCCTGCACTTGCTGGCAGCTTTTTGGCCAAAGGAGCCCATTCCAACCAGTCGGAGAGAGAATTAAAAATGATTGTCTGGTTGACTTGATCAAACGAATGGCCAAGAAGAAAAACAGAAATGAGAAAAAGCAAACCAACAAGTAAAGTTCAGAGGGCACACGCAGAAGCCGTCCCAGTGCGGTATCTTTTTTTTCATTGTAAGCCAACAAACACTGCAAAACTAATTGGTGAGCGCGTGAAAGCAGTCCGCACACGCTGCTTTGTCTCATCTGCGTATCATATCAGCGGCATGCACTGTATATCATCTGTCTTACACATTCTGGGTGGAGAATATAGACCGCCGCCCCCTGCGGGTGGGGAGAGTTGTTTACTCATACGCACCTGATAATGTTGGAGCTTGATCTTTGCAAACAGTCGGCCTCTGGTGCGTCAGATCTTTGAGGTCGGTTTGCTGCTCATTAATAATTCTATTTTGGTTTGAGGCGATTTTTCACCACCACATCCTGGAACTACAGCATTACTTTTATGAGCCGAGGATCAAATACTATAATAATCAAACTTTGTCGACTGCCAAACATGATAATTATTCAATAATCACAATTTAATTCAAGTACATTTGAAACGCTGCAACAGACTTCATTTTATGGCAAATCAACTCTCAGCGAAAGATGGATTTAAAATGAGCCATCCCTGAATAGAAGGAAGGTTTTTTCTTAAATTATATTTGTTCTGAGTGGGTTGATAAAATAATAAGGCTTTTTATGACTGATAGCGGATACTTCCGATAAAATCTCTGTTCAGTTTGCACATTTCTTTTTATCAGGTCTATTTAGGGATGATTCAGACCCATACGGGATGTGTGAAAGCTTTAAACCACTCAAATACCCACTACATGCATGTGAATATAGTGAAAATGTCAAAAAAGGTGCTGTTAGTGTGAGTGAGGTGTGTGAATGAAAGGTAAAGAAATGATTGAGTTGATTTATTTTTACATGACTGTTATTCAACATTACCGCAGTTACCTGCTTTTCAGACCTTTTAAAAAGAATGGCAGGAACCATCAGGATACTTTTATGGTTCCTTTCTTTAACTCTTTAGCTCTGAGGGACGTTTAAAGTTATCAGCGTCATACTATAAACTAATCAAGAACATATTGATGTTGCACACAAATTAAACCGCAGAACTTGGGTTACAAATACATGTGCACCATATTTACATGCTCCAAACACAACCCATAAACACCCAATAACTGTGGACCAAATATCATAGCTCATGGGATGAGAATTGGACACGTAGGTAGCAGAAACATTCGTAGCTCAGCGCTACTTTGGGCTAAACACAAAATCGCACAATCTCTAAAGAAAGAAGACAGTCCACAGATTCAGCAGGTATGCAGATCTGCAGCTCACCCCTCCTTGCAAGACCCTCAGCGTACCAAAGCCAAAGTACATCAAGAACAGAAATGGTTCAACAGACGATAGTTGTAAAATGTCCCTTAACTGAGCAGTTTGCGATTAAAAGTCTTTACTAGGGGCAAAAAAATGCTGAGCACTCTCTTGGGGCTTCTTGCTATTATGTGTCATCACTTTATCAAAATCAACCTTTGCATGATGAATGTTCTTGTATTGTGCTGTGATCTGGTAGAGGTTTGGAGCCATAACATTATCATTCAAAATGGGAAATCATCCTGAAAGTGTTTTTTTTAAAGCAAACTTAAAACGTTTTCTTTTGTGCAGTACCACCATAAACACCCACACCAACCTCTGCAACCATAAAGTCTATTGATATTTACACATCTGCACAAAGTCCCACAAGTGTTCCCTTTATTATGACTCCCAGATTTTTCAAATATTCCTTGTGGTTGCAGAGATATTTTTATCATGAGCAGGGGCATAAAAAATGGCTTGTGTTGCGATATGTGCTGGCAGACCCAAATGCCTCGCCGGGAAAGCTTGGTTCTCAAGAGGATCCCCAACTAAACTTCACCAAAAAAACACCAAACCGACAACCTGACTTTTGTCTTCAGCGTAGAAGGTTTCTATTTACATTCAATGCATCATGCGGAATGTAAACATCCTGCTTTTGCTTTTCCAGAATAGAAAAAATAGGACATGAGCTTATTGTCCTCAACTGAGCTGATTAGCAGGCAAGCCGGAGTCTTTAGTCCACTTCTCTTTTCGGTGAGGTTCTAAAAAGTCTAAATCTCCAAATGTCTTTTCAAAATACTTTTTTGAAATATTCTTATATTGATAAATGTTCATGTTTTAATTTAGCCATAACTCTAGAGTCTCTACCTAATACCTGCCATGAATAATGATATATTCAAAATAGATCAAACTGGCAGATTTAACACAGAGGCGACTGTGGGTGAGTGGGGAGCACGGTCGTCCTCCAATCAGAGGGTTGTCGGTTCGATCCCAGGCTCTGTTAGCCCGCATGTCGATGTGTCCTTGGGCAAGACACTTAACCCAACATTGTTCCTGTAGCTGCGACTACAGTGTGTGAATGTTAGTTACTGATGGCAGGTGTCACTGTGTGTGGTTCTCCTGTCATCAGTGTATGAATGGGTGTGAATGGGTGAATGATGTCATGTAGTGTTAAAGCGCTTTGAGTGGTCAGAAGACTAGAAAAGCGCTATAAAAGTACAGACCATTTACCATTTAACATCCACTCTAGCCACCTTTATCAAAAAGGTTTTGTCATTGTCTAGACAATCAACAATTACCCTTCCCTGTCCACTTCATGTCTAAAAACAAAATTTGTTGACCGATTACTTGTCTCTGTCACCAGATTGGACATGACCTCCAACAAGCTGAAGAAGATTCCCCCCGACCCGCTGTTCCTGCGGATCCCGGTATACGCCAAGATGAAGGGCTCTCCTCTCACAGCGCTGGTGTTGAGCTTCGGGGGGAACCCCCTGCACTGTAACTGTGAGCTGGTCTGGCTCCGCCGACTGACCAGAGAGGACGACCTGGAGACCTGCGCTTCCCCTAAAGAGCTGGCCGGAAAATACTTCTGGACTATTAAAGAGGTTGGTTGAAGTACAGTAGCTGCATTAATATCATTTCATAAAACAACATTATCCCCCACCTTAAAGTTCATTAAATAACCATCATCAGTCCAACTTATTACAAGATTGTGGGTATTCAGGGATACTGAATTATTATATACATTACTTTTAGGTAAAGGGATTCAAATACAGATTATTGAAAATGATAGAAATACAAACAACAATTAATAACTTTTATGCTCTGCTTTAATACATATTTTTTAGCATTTAGCCATGAATGATGAAAACTCCATCATTAAAATCTTTCGCAATCCCACTCCTCACTCCTCCGCTGACCCAGAAGTACCATAACCACAGTTTTATCTTTTTTTTTTTTTTATCCAATATAAAACAACATGTGATGCTTCATTCGGAACTTTAATAGAAGCTTTGAATTTCATAGAAAAAGATATTTGGTACAGTTCTACTCAATAGATTTTCATTTGGTCTGCTGTGATAAACAGCGATGAGTATGTAATCAAAGGTCATCACAATTGAATCCGGTAGGTCCTTCACGTGGAACTGTGTGAGTTTTGCCTCAGAATCCATTAAAGCCTGCAGCTAAATGTCTGAAATTTCCTCCCTGTATAGATGCACAATCACTGTCGCTCTCAAGCACACCCGAGCAGATGATTGGTGTCACAGAGGAGTGAAGCTTCTAGTAAAAGGGTTGTTGAGTGTTGAGTATATGCAACAGGCCTCAGGTGCATTGCCTTGGCATTGTGTACCATTTAGTTATAACACTGTATGTGTTAGAAGACACAGAAGGGGAGGCTCGGGTTAATGTCCCAGCAAATAGCCAAGATCAGGTTCAAGACGACTGACAGTGGTTTAAAAGTAAAACACCTAGCTTTATTTATTTGGTGGTTTCTTCATCAAGAGCAGTGCACAGCAATGAACATCACTGCAGCTTTTCATTAGAAGTCCCTGTAGACGTGTTACAAAGGCAAACCCAGAGGGCCATTAATAAACTGGGTTTGAAATAAATCAAATAGTAGTAAACCCTTACAGTTCTTGTGTTCTGCCGGGACGATGCTCTCACACGGTGTAATTTGAACCCACTGTCAAACACATAAAAACATTTACTTCTTGTGGAAATACAGAAATAAAAAGAAATCATGAGCATGATCCGTGCAGCAGGATAAGATATAGATAAAACAGCCTTTACTTATTGGACCAGGAAAGCTGCGCAGTCAGCTCAAGCACATGAATTAGGCAGGAATGAGGCTAAAACCTCAGTCAATGAATAAAGTAGGCAGGTACACTTGCAGGGTTGGGCGACAGTAAAATGGCACAGGGACATAATTTAAATATAATGAGGAGATGTACAATCAGGGGCGGCAAAACGGACCAACGCAGGAAGTGAATTGAGCTGAAATTAGAGGAGAGCTGCAATGAAGGGAATAGAGGAAATATAATAACAAAGAAACTTAACAAGACGAGACATGACAAACGCAGGTTAGTAAGAGCACTAAGCCAAACCAGTGCAAACCTGCAGTTGCTTCAAATGGAGTCTGAATGGGGTTACACTAAAGGTCGAGGAGCCGCTGTCATTCCCCCGGCTGGGGCGCTACTTATGTACGGGTGCACGGCTTTACTGATACTTAAAGCTGATACTGATACTTAACATAAGGAAGCTCTGCAGTTCAAGGCGTTACCCTAAAGAGGAGGACAATACGGTGATGCCTCACCTGGAGATCCCTCTTCAGTGATAAGTGGAGGGGTCCCATGAGATACAAATGGGATTAATTGGTATCATCTCTTAAAGGTTGATGTACAGACCTTTGCCTCACCTCGAGTAATAGTGCTGGGCCTTGTCGGATCACTATAAGAGGATTAGCCTTGTAGGGCGATCCCGAGACCCCCGTGTCACCTAAGTGTCTGGACAAATTAACACTCGGAGAGTTAATAGCCTCTTTCCCGCTGCAAGGACGAGTGGGCCTCCAATGCATCCATCAGCAGTCAGACATTAGGTGTTCCTGCTTTCAAATCGATGATTTGTTTCCTCTGACGGAAACGGAAGCTCCGAAATCCGAAAGGTTGAATCCTCATCGAAATGGAAAGGAGAGTTGATTCTGGTTGGTAATCAACGACAAACCAGCAATCAAGACCAGATGAGCACTTGATACACTCCTTCACACACTCCTACTTCCACAAACTCAGATCAGGGAGCAGTACGGTTCAATCGCTGCCCTTTATCCCCTTTCAGCGTCACAGTAGCAATTGAGGGTTAGAATACAAGAATGACAGGCACTGGTGCTTTATTTGAAGCTACAGCCCAGCAGTCCTCGGGTCGCAAGTCTTTTCTGCTGGTTAGTCCCAAAAAGGGTTCTTGCACTGAGTGGTAGGACTGATGAGTAATCCCTGGTATGCCTTGGCAACCCCTGCATGGCCTCGCAATAATACTCCACCAGGGTTTTAGCTGGCTTTATATTGGCTTAGGTACCAGTGGGTGGTTTTAAATATCGCAAGGGCTGAGATCACTTAATCTTCATTGCACACAATATAAATCCTCCTTAGAGTCTGCTGTTAGAAGAAGTCATAGGCTCTGTGCACAGAAGATGGTCTTTTCTTGAATATTTTATCTTACTTGTTGGTTCATGGATTTTGAATCTGTGTAAGTCAACCAAATAACCACTAATATTTTTATTACTGCAGCTTTATTGCAGCTGTTTGTAATAGAGGTTTGTGGAGTGAACAACACATTCCATGTAATTCTTTAAAGCGATTCAAATATGGTGACACAGACATTTTGCCTGATCTCCATCAACAGGACGAGTTTGTTTGCGAGCCACCGATGATAACTCGCCACACCTCCAAGATGTTTGTGATGGAGGGTCAGGAGGTCAGCCTTCGCTGCAAGTCCATCGGAGATCCTGAGCCGTCCACGCACTGGGTCAGTCCCGATGGAAAGCTGATCGGCAACACCACCAGAACCGTCTGCTACGAGAACGGCTCGCTGGACATCCTCAAGGCCTCCGTCAAGGTAGACATGTGGTTTCAACCCCATGGACTTGGGTCATGCTTGTGTGTGGATTGGTGCCAAATGTGTTGGTCAACTTTCTCTGCTTTCAACATGGGCCAGATGGCCCCTAGGGGGTTGAATCGGTTGGTTTTTAACTATTTGCTTGAGAGTCCACTGATCCTAATAGGATGTGTTTAAGGGTCACATTTCAAAGTTTCTTTGTAAAGATTAAAATGCAGAAAAAAAACGACTAACTGTGCAGAGGAATTCCTCCACGTGTCAAACATCAGGCGGGTGAGTTGCAAACGGACCACTTAAAGCACTGCTATGCTAAGCCAGCTGCTAGGCTAAACTAGCTGGAGGAGTTGCTAATTCAACATGTTCCACCCGGTGGAATTCTTCTTCCAAGATGATTAAATGTTAAAAGTTGTAAAACTAAACAAAAAAAATAAACGTTTTCTAAAGTGAATACGCATTACTTGTAAAATTTAGTCTTTGGAAGAAAAACAAACGACAACAACATTCATTTACCGCCATTAATCGAGATTAATGAATTTCAAATGTGCGATTAATTTATTTAATTTATCTATTGACAGCCCTAATTCTTTTAATAAACAGCTAAAAATCGTACCAATGTTATACTTTTTATTTATAGAGCCCCCACGGTACTCAAAGATGCTTTACAGATATTTAAAATCATCATTAAGAGCTACACATAAAAATAAAAAACTTAATTAATTAAGTTAAGTAATTAATTAAAAGCAGTTTTGAAGAGGTGAGTTTTGATTTCTGATTCGAACAATAAAAGTTTATTGCAGTCTCGATGTGACGAGGGAGGGGGCAGCTATGGACACAGCTCTGTCTTCCCATGTCTGTCTCGGAATCTCAGAGAACAAACCTGTCACGCTTTGGGTTCACGTATTGTTTTATTTTGTAGTTTCATGCCTCTGGTGCTCCTGGGTAACTTCACTTCCTGCCTTGTCCCGTCATCCCCTGTGATTGTCTGCCGTGTCATGATGTTTCCACCTGTGTCCAATCACCTGCACCTTCCCATTGTATTTAAGCCATGTGTGTCTCTTGTGCCTTGTCGTGTCATAGTTGAATGTACTGAGTGTTGCTCGTGGTTCTCTTGGTGTATTGTCGTCCGGTCCCCGCCTGCGTTTTTGCCCCGTTGGCATTTTTTTGATTTTGCCGAATAAAGTATTTTTGTTTTTCAAACTCTGCGTCTGGGCCCTGCCTTCCCCGTTCCTGACAAAACCAGGACTATAAAGCTTTCTGGCAGCTTGGTTTTGAAAATGTTCTGATCTCTGTACAGTCAGTAGGGAAACCGCTTCATGAAATGCCTTTGTGATCTCTGTATCCAAATCACATTGGCAAGGCATGAAGGTCTGAGTGATGCACACCACAAAAACACGTGGACATTAAAGTTAATGAGTTTTTCCAATGATTGACCAATGCCTTGGACAATGTGTGTAATGGGTATTAAAATTTATTATTAATATCTCTTCCCATTTTTAATTACAATACAGCATATGAGCTGTGTATAAATTACATAAAAAATTGAGACAAAATATATATGAATAGTTTTTTTTTTTTTTTACAATTTCAGTTAATATTAGCATTTAATTGGTTAGCTGTCAGTTTGCTACCAAAACAATCTTTTTGTTTTACTATTGATATTTGTTCAATTTTTTTTTTCTCAAATATTTAAAGTTACATTTTGTGTCTTTTCCTCCCAATGACCTCTAGGATTCTGGAAAGTTCACGTGCATAGCGTCCAATGCGGCCGGGGAGGCCACCGCTCCTGTTGAGTTGGTGGTCAACCCCTCACCACACTTTGACCCAAAACTGGACCCCGACCCCGGGCCTTCGGACATCCCCACATCCATCAAGTCCAACGCCAGCGGTGGTCAGTCGCGCTCCGATCAGCAGAGGGTCAGCGTGTCGGATCTAACGTCCGGCTCTGCAACCATCAGATGGCCGCCGCAGAACCACATACCAGGAGTCCGCATGTACCAGATCCAGTACAACAGCTCCTCAGACGACATCCTCATATACAGGTAAGAGAGAGGGGTCAAGAGGGGCCGAGTGGGGCTGCCGGGGTTCACAAAGCTTGTTTGTTCTGATCTGCATGTTTTTGTCTAGAATCTTTAACACACGTGTTCAGCTCGAGGATCAGTCCGAATGTAAGACAGCTTCAGCATTTGATACAGAGCAAGAAAACAAACCACTGAAACCAGTGGATCAGGATTAAAGCTTTGAGAAACCGAGACCCTCGTCAAACCCATTGTGCTGTCAGCTGCTTCCAGACATACTGGTGGAGGTACATCATGAACATCACATGTTAAACCACAACTTTTTTGAGGGTAATCCATCAATTGTGGTAAAGAGTGTAAATGACACTGAATTATGGGGAGAAACAGAGTTGTGCTTTTTTCTTCAGGAACATTTATTATAGAAATCCAGTTACTGCCTGGTGGCTGACAAGCTTGGATGCTTTGATAGATGTATACATTATTTTTCTATTAACATCCTATGGATTTAAATCCAGGTAAATGTCATTTTCCACTGAGTCTCGCCGTAACTCACGGGTTCTCTATCATCCAGGGTCCAGCTCTCCATTAAAGCTTTACAATGTTCACACTGTTGGAAATATTGAAATCTGTATTTATTCACTATTACATCCATTTTGCAGACGTCATCTTAGATGGGGTTCTAAAACTACATGCTAACATGCTTGGAACTTTTTATGCACAAACAAGAAGTCTGGGTTGGTTTCTGTAACAATTGCCTGTGCAGTAATTCTTATTCTTTCTTTGTATATCCGGCGCTGTGCAGGCAGCTACCTAAATACAACCTGCGCCTAACGCTCTCTGTAGCAGCAGATCAGTTCCACATATGGCAGTCTTGTTGGAGGTCACTACAGGAACTGTGCAAACAGCTGAAAGTGTTTACAACATCTGTTTGGTTATTCTTGTTTAAAAAAATGAAATCATTTTCGGTATAAGATTAGAGATGTCCTAAGTACATCCGTCAGTGTACCATCAAGAAAACTGCTTGAGTTGACCACAAACATGTGAGTGCCTGCTGAGTTGACCGCAGTGTGGTAGGAGACCGTTTCATGTTTTGTCCGGCCGTATTACATTTTTTTAAATTAAAAAAAAAGCTCAGCGAACAACGAAATCAACTAATTTCCTCTGACTTTAGGAAACAAATGGTTTGTTTTATCTTATTAAACATTTTATAGTTTCAAAGGAAAAATTGGGAATTAGTATCTTTTTCGACCATAATAATGAGCATAGCACATTTCATTTCCGAAGTAGATATCCTAAAAATAATTAAAAAAGTAATAGCCCTAAATCTGTAACTACTGTATCTGGTGTTGATAAAAGGCTGAGTCAGAGCTCAGGCATCTGCTTGCAAAAGTCAGGACACCCAGCCGGGTTCAGGTGGCAGATGGTGGCAGACAGAACATTGAGATTCATAAAATGTAGTTATTTTATGCTACTTAAAACAAAGACAAAAAATGCTTAAAGGGGAAAGAGTGTATGCAGTAATTAGTCATTGCATTCTGCAGCAAAACCACAGATACTCTCAGAAAACATGACATGTTCATGCAGTGCAAATTAGGAAATTGTAAATCAGATGATGTGATAATCCACAATGTATATATTATTGCATTTTTTTCCAGAGGTAAATGAGCAGTAAAACTTATTTTTGGTTTGTCACCAAACCCTAAATCCTCCAGGTAACAGCAGAATTTGCACATTCTCATCACCAGATGTGGATTTCTAAGCATATTTCAGACTCAAGCTGCCAAGTGGCTGACTGGGGACCCTCGATCAGCCCGTCCTACTGAGTGACCGCTGGATGGTCCCATTAGCCACTTCAGCCAGCTCCGTAACCTAGCAACGCTATTCAGGATGCATATTTGAGTGTTATTACCAAGCATTTGAAGGGCTGACAGGTGACAGTTTGAAATGTGTCCAAAGGCTCAATCCTCAGTTTGACCAAAGTCAAAGTCCCTCAAGTGACCGTTCGAGTGGAGAGAACACCTGGTCAAGTGCACAGCGTTCGTTGGACTGTTTCGCGTTGAACTGTGTGGGTGATCTGATGATTTTACCATAATTACTTTTTATATCCACCCATGAGTGTGCACTTACTGCTGGGTTGTGTTAACAAACAGCCAGGAGTCAGCGGTGTAGGTTATTTTTGACAATTGCTGTTTGTTTGTTTGTTTCACCATACACATTGAGTTTGAGGCTACACTTAAACTCAATGTGTTAAAAGAGGTGGAACCACACAAGGAAACACCGTCTTCCCTTTCATTTAGGCGTGGGTTGGTGCATTCAGGACGCCGAGGGAGAAATGCAGCAATCTGCATAAAAAAATTGGCAGCAGAATCCACCTTTAGTGAAATGATACGAAACGTCACGGTGTACGACTCAACCGCGACAAAACAAGAGACGCTAATCCCACACAGCAGCTTGGTGCCATGAAGTGACACTCACTCACGGCAGCACTCCACTGGATGTGCTTTAAATGCAGCAGAAGTGACCTAAAGCCCTCCCACAGCTGAAGGAGTTATGACTATTGTCCGCATGCAGCAAAGGAGGAGCCACTTAAACGTTGTTGAGATACAGCTTTCTTCTGGGAGTCCACTGTTTCTTCTGAACGAGGAGTGATCGTACCATGTGCAACTTTGAGAAGGAAAATATTTAATGCCAGATGAGGAGTCATTCCTTAACCCAACTAGTTTCTTTTGTGCTGAAAACTAACCAAACCGTAACCACCTGGTTCCTCTCGTCATGTCATTTCAATGGTGGCCTCAAACTCTTTCACAACTACAATGATAACCAATCAGAATATTTTTGTTTCACCATCTCTGCAATTCATGTTCATGATGTCTAAAAGAAAGTATACAAAAACATATTCCTGCCATTAATTATGTGTTGTGTATAACTACACTGACTTGTTAACACTGTAGTTGGCATAGTGGCCAAAACTGACTATTACGGAGGATTAAGATCAACAAAACCAAATGTTGATAAAAGTAAAAAATTAAAGTGGTGCATGAAGGAGAACTAAAGCAGGGAAATGAGTTAACATTTTTTTAACTTAGTTATGGTGAGATGTCTGAGATAAAGCCTTTATTTACCCCAAATATTGAGATAATGTGTTGTTCTACGAAATGAAATATATCAGGACCAGATACTGATTTTTTTTGGTCTAAAAACACATTGGTTTAAGATAATCTTGCCGAACAAAACAAGTGTGATGAATGTATGTTTGTCACAGAAATACCGTAGTAATCTAAAAGTCCAGTGTAAAAATCCTATTGGGTTGTTGCCAGCTGGACGCCAACTACCTGGTACATATATGTGTGTTATCCCTGCCCCCGGCTTTGTCATTTCACTTGTTTCACAACTGTTTGTTACATATACATATATACATATTGTTGTTCATATGTATGCTTCATTTACATTAATGTGATTTATCATTTATCAAAACAGAAAAAGGCTTTATATTCTTAGTATTTCAACACAGAAAGATGAGCTTGGATTGATGTCCGCACCAGTGTGAAATCAAACAGAAAGTGAGCTATGTAGTTATTTATTTCAGTGTATTTACAGTAGGTACTCTCTTCTTCATTCACTCTCCTTTGGCCGCCTTCAGGCACAGAGATGCAGCCTCTCGTGCTTCCAAGATCTTTGAAGTTTTCATTGTCCGGGATGGAAAACCGGAGCTCTCGAAGTGAAACAAGATTGCTCCCTCCATTCTTACCCCGGCCGCGGTTGTTCCCTTGAGCCCGGTGTTTACACCAAATGTTTCTCCAGCGGATTGAGAATGGATGGGTAGTGATGTGGAGAGGGGAGTCAAGAAAACAGATCAACTAAAGGAGTCACGAGATAGCGATCTTTCAGAAACACCAACATTTTGGGCAAATCTCAAAACCCTGATTAAATTCCATCTCTGGTCCGAAACACTGTCCCTGCTGGCCACCGCACACGCTCTTAAATTATAAACAGGGAGTCAACTTCTTCTGGCCTTCCTTCCCTGTAAAAGAGCACCGGAGCAGTGCTTGAACATTGGACTCCAGAGTGGCACAATTTCATTTCATTGGAGCTCTGTGGCGGAGGTACAGCGTTGGCCTCTCCACTGCACACTGTGATGGAGGACACTCGCTACGCCCACTCTGCCCTCTCTGCTCCGCCTCTGCAGTCTGGAGCCCGGTTTGCAGACACTCTGCAGTCAGAGCGGCTCCTCGTCATCACATACTGAGACAAGCGCTGTACTCTGCACCGCAGCACATCCATTATTGTAATTACCGAGCAAAGGATAGTTTGCTATCATTTCTTTTTTTCTTGAGGTTGTGCCGGTGTGCTTATTTACAGCATGGCGAGTTCCACATTAAGTTTATATGCCTGGACCTCACACAAATAACCTCTTAGAGGCGCTACTGATTATCACTAATTAAACAGCCACTACATGGAAGAGCATGTCCATCTTGCACAAATATACTGATATTCACTAGAAGGAACTGTAATCCACTGAATAAAACAGCTTACAGTCACAGTACAGTAAGTATTGCCCAGACACACTGCCAGAAGCTGCTCTGGGTCAACACGATTCTGTAGTTGGTCGTCAGCCTGCACAAACTTAGTTTGACATTAAAAGGTGTTCTCAAAATTGGCATCGCTGCAGGTAAAAATTGTACATTATACTTCACATTTGGTTGATGTTTATTTATGAGCATCTTCTTTTACATTGATGCAACACAAGACGGGGAGCATTTGCTGTAGTAGTAGATATAAAAGCCCCAGCTTGTACATTTTTGCTGCTTTCATTATTGAAGGTAAAGGTGGCAAATGTTTGCCTTTTTCTTAGACATTCTTAGATATTCTTCGATATTCTTCTCAGAGACATGATGGTACTTTTGACCAAAGCATGTCTCACGTATAATATGTTATCTTGGTTATGTTTTTTAATTTGTTTTCCTACGAAAATCCAGCAACACGTGACAATTTCCGCTCCTAATAGGCATTCTGCTCTTTTAAAC